ATTCTATTGGCTTTTGAAAGCCAATAGAATAGACTCTCTTGAATAGAGTCTAATTCTATTGGCTTTCAAAAGCCAATAGGAATTATCCAGGCTGTCTCTGCCCTGCTGAGCCCGCCAAAAGTCCCATTCTGCAAATGGTGCTGCACCAGTTGAGTAGTCCTCGACTTACGACCGGTTGAGTAGTCCTCGATTTATGACCGGTTGGGGGTCGTGGCATTAAAAAGGTTGAGAACCACTGGACTAGATGATAAGTTTGATGGATGGGCTCATTCTTGACTGAATGACGGTATCCAAAAAGAGCTCATTTAATGACTCTAGTTTGAAGGGAATTATTACAGGAAGAGGAACTGCAGCAAAGGACAGATAAGACAAGGAGAAAACTGCTAATTTATATGAATTCAAATCTGATCTGTTTCATCTAACACTGCCCGATTCCATCTAACTTCAGGCAATATACAATAAAACCAAGAACATAAAAATACCATACAATAATTATAATAGGATAATAGGTTAACAAAAACTGGTCACAGATCCAGCAAACACCCCCATACACAATTCATTGGGGACTCTTATCACCATAATCTTTAAGGGAATTTAAGGGAGGTGTAGCTGGTGATAGCATTCTAAAAGATGTATTAAAGGCTGGCCAGGAATCTGAGGTGAGACCTGGCATTGTCTCAAAAGAGAATGATGGAAAACTTATGTGCAAGTCTATCTTTTCCAAAACTGTATCTCTGTTTACAGAACATATTTGCAATGCGCTGTACCAAGAGACCTTATTGGTGTAGGTACCAAGATTAATCCAACTTTGTGCCGAGCTGATCAAATGGTAGGTAGGGCAAGCTCTAGGTGAAGTTGAAGTACCACCTGAAATATTCACAGAACTTGAAATTTCCTATTTCTTGTTGAAGCAACTATTGAGTGTCCTTAATGAAGGTAATAAAATAGCTGCCAAGGTACAAAAAATATCCAAAAATGGAAGTTCTAATGGTAAACCTAGGAAGTATTTCAACCGGAAGATGGGTCAGTGCAGTGAAAGCTGATCTGGAGAAAATAATACTAACTAATCCTGTATGCACTGAAGTAAGAGAAAAAAATTGCCCTTAGTCGAAGAGTTGACATTTAATTGGATGGGGACAGATTAGAAGACTGACAATCAAGCATACTGTGGAGGATGATTAAAAGCAAAAAAACAGTTCTTTAATTTGTAAAGAATGGTGTGTGTTTCTATATAGTTGGAATGTATCTTCCGTGAGGAAGTTGTTGCATAGAGAATGTCCATGTTGTACTGAAAATTAGTGCTTGTCAGTATGTGCAATAAATTAAACAAATTGGCAAAGATGGAACTAATTCTCCAATATTTTATCCAAACTAAATTTGTTTTGTTTAATTTATGTCAGTTTTTTAGAGACTATGTGGGGCTGGCTATTTGATTTTAAACAATGTAACTCAAGACCCCATAATCTGATTTGAAAATTGCTTATTTTTTTCATTTAACACTTATAGGTAGCTTTATAACAAAAAACTGAAACATTTGTCAATGGAACAAATGTTAAAAACTAAACTTTATGATTATAAGACACCCAGAGCAATCCTGTGGTAAGATGGGTGGCCAATAAATTTTATAAATAAATAAAATAAATAACAATTGAAAGCCTGGGGAAGTCTTGAGAAGATTTCAGTAGGGCTGAGTCCTGGGCCTTGTATAGATCAACTTTTTTATCTAGAGATTAGTAAGACTCATGGGGATACTTATCAAGTTAACGGATGACACAAAACTGGCAGAAACAGTTTAGTGGAGTGAGACAATTCAAAAGCTCTAGATGGGCTTAAGCAAGGCACCAAAATTAATACAATTTAACAAAGGAATAGAAAGTTCTGCAAATGTATGAAAAAGGAAACCACAACTATAGGAAGGGAGACCAGGCTCAGCAGAAGTACAATGTGAAAAAAAAATGGTGTTCTTGTAGTATGTAAGTTAAAAATGAGCCAGCAGGGTGTTGTATAATCTAAAAGGTCAAATGATATCTTGGGATGCATTAGCAAAAGCATATAGCCCAGATCACCGGAAACAAATGCTCCATTCTCTTCTGCCCTGGTCAAAGCGCAGTTGAAATACAGTGTTTAGTTCAAAAAAGGATAGTACCAAATTAGGGTAAGTTTGGAAGACCCCTACTAAGATTCTGCAAGTTAAGCTGAATGAGGAATAGTTAAAAGGGTCAGGGCACATTCAGCATATTGATCAGAAGATTGAGAGGAAATTTAGCAATCTTTAGTTTCATGACCAGATCCAGTGGGTTAGAACTAGATCTCGAGAAGAACTTCTTAACTACATAAACTGTCAGCCAATGAAATGGGGTGCCATATGAAGTAGTGAGCTTTCTTTCCCCAAGTTATCAATACTTGATGATCATCTATGAGAGATGCTATGGGTGGATCTTGCACTGAGCAGAGGGCTGATTTGCAGGACATGATTTTTCCTAGTACACAGCATATACACATAATATTAAGAATGATAAGGATTAACCTGTTCTGCGACAACGCTGATAAAACCTTTCTGGATATGTAAAAAAAAAAAAAATAGGAACACGTGGTTCTACTATCTGGAAGAAAATTATTTATCTGTTCCTGGGTATAGTTTTAAAATGGTCTGGCAGGATCTGTTTGGCACCAGGCTAGAAACCAGACCAGGAGTTCTACTCCGGCTTTAACTATGAAACCCAGGGTGGTTGTTATGGTGAAAATGAGAGGAAGGAGTTAATCACCTTGAATTGTTTATAAAAGAATTAATGAAGGTGAGAAATAAATAAACTAACAAACAAATCAGTTTTATACTAGGTAGGAAGAAAAAAATGTTCTCCACACTGGTAGACTTTCTGGAGGCATATTTCTGACTAATCTTTAAAACAAAATGCTGAACTACCCAGATGTTTATTGGATCAATTAACACTGGAGGAATGTCTTATATTAAACTGTTAAAAGTATGAAAGTGGAGAATATTCAGATACCGTTTGCCTTGTCTTCAACTTGCTGAATGTGAATTTTGATTGTTACTTTTAATTTCTGCAAGCTATATTCTATTTTTTATTTCTAAAACAACATGTGGATTATACTGTATCTTTTGAAGATCTTTTCAGAGTAATTACCTTCTCTCCCAGCTCATTTATTGCACGTTCAATGTCAGCAAAATTCATCGTTTCTACATTTCTGATGACTGGGACCACTAGACCCTATAGGAAATAAAAAACACTGAATAACCAATATTAACAACGTTTCAAAAAATATATAGAAAAAACTAATTAAGGACCTTTTTGATTCATTGAGTCAAATATCTTTTCTAAAATGATCTCAACTATAACAATTCATTCATTTTGCTAGTAGGATATGTTTAATATTTTGAATTTAACATTGAATATTTGTCATGTTAGACCAGTGGTGGCGAACCTATGGCACGGGTGCCAGAGGTGGCACTTGGAGCCCTCTCTGTTGGCACAGGTGCCGTTGCCCCAGCCTTGCCTCCCCCTGCGACCCCCTCTTCACCAGCAGCCCCCTGGAGAAGAGTCACCCCCGAGCGTGGCCCACACGGAGCAGCGTACCCAAGGACATGGCAACCAGGAAGTGTAGACAAGACTCTGCCCTCATGCCCCATCGCGCACAGTTGATACTGTGGGGCCTGGGCAGAGGGCTGGCCAACATGGCGCTGCTGGGCTGCCTGGGTGATCTGCAGTGGGCCCTGGAGGTGGTAAGTGGCCCTGCGGGCAGGCAGGGTAGGGGTGGGGCATGGGGTGGAGTAAGGGCGTGGCCAGTTTTTGGGCACTCGGTCTCTAAAAGGTTCACCATCATTGTGTTAGACCATGGCTACATTTATGTGTAAAAGGAAGGCAGAACTGGAGCTTATCCAGTGAGGGAAAAAATTATTTGATCCCCTGCTGATTTTGTACATTTGCCCACTGATCAGTCTATAATTTTAATGGTAGGTTTATTGTAACAGTGAGAGACAGAATAACAACAAAAAAATCCAGAAAAGTGCATTTCAAAAAAGTTATAAATTGATTTGCATTTTAATAAGTGAAATAACATGACTTAGTACTTGGTGGCAAAACCCTTGTTGGCAATCACAGAGGTCAGACGTTTCTTGTAGTTGGCCACTAGGTTTGCACACATCTCAGGACGGATTTTGTCCCACTCCTCTTTGCAGATCCTCTCCAAGTCATTAAGGTTTCAAAGCTGATATTGGCAGCTCAAACCTTCAGCTCCCTCTACAGATTTTCTATGGAATTAAGGTCTGGAGACTGGCTAGGCCACTCCAGGAACTTAATGTGCTTCTTCTTGAGCCACTCCTTTGTTGCCTTGGCTGTGTGTTTTGGGTCATTATGATGCTGGAGTACCCATCCATGACCCATTTTCAATGCCCTGGCTGAGGGAAGGAGGTTCTCGCCCATGATTTGATGGTACATGGCCCCACCCATCGTCCCTTTGATGCGGTGAAGTTGTCCCCTTAGCAGAAAAATACCCCCAAAGCATAATGTTTCCACCTCCATGTTTGACGGTGGGGATGGTGTTCTTGGGGTCATAGGCAGCATTCCTCCTCCTCCAAACACGGTGAGTTGAGTTGATGCCAAAGAGCTCTCATTTTGGTCTCATCTGACCACAACACTTTCACCCAGTTGCCCTCTGAATCATTCAGATGTTCATTGGCAAACTTCACATGGGTCTGTACATGTGCTTTTTTGAGCAGGGGGACCTTGCCGGCACTGGAGGATTTCAGTCCTTCACGGCATGTGTTACCAATTGTTTGCTTGGTGACTATGGTCCCAGCTGCCTTGAGATCATTGACAAGATCCTCCCATGTAGTTCTAGGCTGATTCCTCACCATTCTCATGATCACTGAAACTCCACGGGGTGAGATCTTGCATGGAGCCCCAGACCAAGGAAGATTGACAGTTATTTTGTGTTTCTTCCATTTATGAATAATCACACTGTTGTTACCTTGCAACCCATTCCAACCTTGTGTAGGTCTACAATCTTGTCCCCGACATCCTTGGACAGCTCTTTGGTCTTGGCCATGGTGGAGAATTTGGAATCTGATTGATTGCTTCTATGGACAGATGTCTTTTATACTGGTAACAAGCTGAGATTAGGAGCACTCCCTTTAAGAAAGTGCTCTTAATCTCTAATGGTTATCTGTATAAAAGACACCTGGGAGCCAGAAATCTTGCTGATTGATAGAGGATCAAATACTTATTTCACACATTCAAATGCAAATCAATTTATAACTTTTTTGAAATGCATTTTTCTGGATTTTTTGTTGTTATTCTGTTTCTCACTGTTAAAATAAACCTACCATTAAAATTATAGACTAATAATTTCTTTGTCAGTGGGCAAATGTACAAAATCAGCAGGAGATCAAATAATTTTCCCCCTCACTGTACCATGAATGAGCAACATGCTGGCACATACTACCAGACTGCTCCGAACAACAATTGAGTCATGGACTTGAACAATTGTCCCGTGGATTGGATTTACTATGAAATGCACACTGGATATTCGGACATGTTAACCCAGAGAGAAGGAGCTAAGTGGAGAGTAATCAATCAGAGTGCCAAACTATAACGAATTAGAATTCTGGCTAACTGTTGCATATACATACATATTGTATGAAACAGGTATTTAGGTGCCCAGTGATCTAGTAGCACTAGGACTGTGGGACTTCAAAAAAACACCCCACAAGTCTTCAGAACTCTAGTTCATCTTTAGAAGCAGAAAAATGAAAGTGAACTCAACTTACTTGTCTCTGAAAGAAAAAAAAGGAAACAAATGCAGGAGACAAGGACTGTTATTCTACCTAGGATTAAATTTAAGATTAAGTAGAAATAATTTCTACTACCATGGAGTTTTGTCCAAAAACTACTATGCAGGTTTTGGACAGAAGTAACCCTCCTTCATCTATCACTGCAGAGTAAGACAACATCAATAGGCTCAGCTTCCATTTCATAAAACCAGTCTTGGCTTATTTCTAACCCCAGTACCCCTTTTCATAAATTTGAATAATCAACTGGCCAGGTGAAATTGTCTCCATAATACCTACCCTAGGAGTTGCCACTGCAACACTGATATCCACATATTCTCTGTATACCATTTCTTTGGTTGTATCATCAATCACTAAGTTGAAAAAGGAAATTAGGTGTTACACAGAGCAACACCAACAATCAAGACATGACTTAGAAGAACTACACATTAGTGAGTATCAAGGCCTACCTAGTACCTTCTTATTTGCTGCAAATTAGTTGCCTCATTTTACTTGAAATACTTGAAAGACATATCTGTGAATTTTAATTTTACTCATTCTAATTTTTTTCAGTTGAATTTTAGTTCATCCCATTTCTGCATTGCTTATCAAAGACTTGGAAAAATGTGTGTGTGTGTGTGTATATATATATATATATATACACACACACACATATACATATACTTATATATGTGTGTGTGTGTGTGTGTGTGTGTGTGTGTGTGTGTGTATATATATATATATATATATATATATATTCTTGCGTATATTTTTCTTAGCACACTGTACATATTTTCTGTAACATATTTTTGCAGTATTCCCTAATGCAAACTTGTCTGTGTACGCCAGATAATGTTTTGGGGCCAATGAATATAATTTAAATTTTGACAGTATGTTATAGTGCTTTTTAAAATATAGTTACTTTTGCTACATACCATCTTTCTGTGTTGTTTTCAAAATATCTTTAAAAAAACAAGCAGCCAGATAGATAGCAAGGGATATAGTATGGACATACTACCAATAGTATCCCTACTGTTGCAGATCCTCTCTCTCTCTCTCTCTCTCTCTCTCTCTCTGTATGTGTGTGTGTGTGTATTACAAATATATCCTATTTTTAATGCAGATTTCTAATTTGCATTATGAAATTCATAAAATAGCAAAGATCAGAATAAAACTCTAATCCTAGGAGTGTAGATAAATTGAAACTGGACTGGGAAGTTGAAAATACATCCTGGAAAAAGGCAGGTTAAACCATTCTGTGTTGTTACCAAAAACATCTATAAGGGTGAGCCCACGAAGTCACACAATGTGTTGAGCTTCTCGCAGTTAATTTTTAAAAAAGTCTTATAAAATCTGAAAAAGTTTTATGATTTAAACAAATTTTCTTCCATCTTTCACACTATCCCAAGTCTCAAAACACAGAACTTGAGGCAACACATAAAAGAATTTTATTCCAGTTTGGAAAATAAATTGTAGCTGAAATTTATCCTGCTGCCTTCTTTCAAACTGCTTCACAATTTTTTCCAAGCCCTTTGATAAGATAGAGCATACATTTTTGTCTTATTTAAACAATGTTTGAATAAAGTAAGGAATAGCAGGGCGGAGCCTGTTGGCATCCATTATTTCTTACCTTATTCAAATCATCAGCCATATGAGAGAAACCTCTGTCCCTCTTCTAAGCCTTTGGTACTTGGCTAGAGAGCTAAGAAGACAACTGTGCAGCAGTTTGGAGATTGGAAGAAAGAGCAAAAGAAATTTTAAAAATACATGCTTATTATCATACATCTTGCCCTTTTGTTGGGGCCCTCAGTAGTCTCCCATTCCAGTTATTGAAAAGGGGCTGCAAAAAAAAGTCTTGTTGACTATATTATTACTATAGTACAAGTGAGAGAAATTCCTGTCTCTTTTCCAAAGTTGACTGTCAACCTAGAAGCCAAGCCTTTCAGAAAAGACAAGTAGAGGCAAGGTAGGAAACCACATCTGCAAATCATGGTGAAAAAAATATGCTTCTGCAAATCATAGTGGAAAAGTAAGTTAGGATTTTCTCAGAGTATCCTCTCAGAGGATCATTTCCTAATAAAACCACCATCATTATTACTGATGAAAGTCCCCACATGCAAATCAGAAGGTCTTTTTCACCCCCACTTTGATTATTCTTTTGCTGAGAAAGGGTTTGTTTCAGCACAGGGATTTTGACCTAACAAGTCCAGGTGACACAATCAGTAACACAGTAGACTTTCTTAGTAGCAAAATATTTAATTATGAAGTGGGCTAATCCCAGCTCCATATATACTTGGTCTGTCATCTACTCAGAAATATAAGCGCTGGCTTCTTACCTGCATTCACAACAGGCTGCTCTTGCAAAGCAAAGGCTGCAGCTTTCACAAAGGCAGACATAAAACCTAATTTCATATTGTGCTTCTTCAGGAAGCTGTCCCTGTGCCGGGCTCTCATTTCCTGGATGTTACTGCAAATACCATAAGAATATTTACCACAAATTTTACAAAAGATTTTCAAACCTGCAGTACATTTCACCTGATGCCTAGTTATTTACTGAATTGCATCTCAAACATGCCATGTATGGTTTTTTTTTAATGCAAATACAAAAGCCTCACACAAGAAGTGACACTATTATCAACAATGCTTATCCAAAGCTCAGACTGAATGGTGTATTTTCCAAATTAAAAAAAAATGTTTTAATGGATATCAAGATTTTCAATAGCTTCTGGATTCTTAAAACTACTACTAATATATTAAGGCTAATGTTAATGTTCAAGGACACAATAATTCAGCTTTTTTTCAAGAATGAACTATTATAATTAATGAACTTTTTAAATATAATAAACAACAAATCAATGTAATCTGCTTTGATAAATAAATCACTGTTCAGAAAGTAATAGGTAAAATTTTGTTACAAAACTTCGGCATCAGTAATAACTGTGCCTTCCAAATGGGTTTTTATTTAATAACCTTAACCACAGTAAGTACGGGATTGTTTTACTAAGGCTTGATTGAATGTCTTGGAATCATGGGTGTCAAATTCACTGCGTCATGTGATGTGTTGTGACGTATCGCAACTTTTTTTGCATTGCCGGAACTGGAGTGGGTGCGGCCTCCGCATGACACAAGCAGCCTGCAGACCGGCAGTTTGACACCCCTGAGGTAGTCATACTGTATAAAGCAGTGGTGGCGAACCTATAGCATGCATGCCAGAGGTGGCACTCGGAGCTCTCTCTGTGGGCATGCGTGCCATTGCCCCAGCCCCACCTTCCCCCGCAACCCCCTCCTCACCAGCAGCCTGCCTGGAGGAGAGGCTCCCCCAGGCACGGCCCACACAGAGCAGTGCAGCCAAGCACATGGCAGCCGAGCAGCAGGGGCAAGACTCTGCCCCTGCGCCCCATCACATGCAGATGATGCTGCAGGGTGCGGGCTGAGGGCATGGCCACCATGGCGCTGCAAGGCTGCCTGGGCGATCTGTGATGAGTGGCCCTGCGGGCGGGTGGAGTGGGGGGCAGAGCAGTGGGCAGAGCAGGGATGGGGTACTCGGTCTCTAAAAGATTCGCCACCTATGGTATAAAGACTTAATTCTTGCAATAATGTAGTAGATCCAATCAATCAGAATAAAACTGGAAGGGATCTTGGAGATCTTCTAGTCCAGCCTCCTGCTCAAGCAGGAGTCCCTATATCATTTCAGACAAATAGTTGTCCAGTCTCTCTTAAAAATCTCGAGTGATGAAGCACCCACAACATCTGAAGGCAAGCTGTTCCACTGGATAATTGTCTTCATTGTTAGGAAGTTTCTCCTTAATTCCAGGTTGCTTCTCTCCTTCATTAGTTTCCATCAGTTGTTTCTTGTCTTGCCTTCTGGAGCTTTGGAAAATAAATTGACCCCCTCCTCCTTGTGACAGCCCCTCAAATACTGGAATACTGCTATCATGTCCCCCCTAGTCCTTTTTTTCTCTAGACTGGCCATTCCCAAATCGTGCAACCATTCTTCATGTTTTAGTCTCCAGGCCTTTAATCATCTTAATTGCTCTTCTTTGCACTTTTTCCAAAGTCTCAACATCTTTTTTGTAATGTGGTGATCAAAACTGGATGCAGTATTCCAGATGTGGCCTGCTTTATAAAGTGGTACTAATACTTCATGTGATTTTGATTCTATGCCTCTGTTTATACAACCAAGGATTATATTAACTTTTTTAGCTTCTGCCGCACATTGCTGACTCATGTTTAAGTGATTGACCACTAGGACTCCCAGGGCTCTCTCATAGTTACTGTTTTTGAGCCAGGTTTTGCCTAATCTGTACTTGTACCTTTAGTTTTTCCTGCCCAGGTGTAAAACCCTGCTTTTCTCAACATTAAATATCACTTTGTTAGATAGGTCCCATTGTTCAAGTCTGTCAAGATCTTTTTGGATTCTGAGCTTGCCTTCTGGGGAGTTGGCTATTCCTGCCAGCTTGATGTCATCTGCAAATTTGATGAGATCTTCTATTCCTTCATCTAAGTCATTTATGAAGATATTGAAGAGTACTGGGCCTAAGACAGAACCTTGTGGTACCCCACTAATTACTTCCCTCCATGTAGATGTAGTACCATTAAGGACTATTCATTGAATATGGTTTGTCAGCCAGTTACACATCCATTTGGTGGCAATGCTGTCAATCCCACATTTTTCTAGCTTAACAAGAAGTAGATTGTGGACTACTTTTGTCAAATGCCTTGCTGAAGTCTAAATATATTATATCCACAGCATTTGGCTGGTCTACTAATTTAGTCACTTTGTCAAAGAATGAAATAAGATTGGTTATTAACAAACCCGTGGTGGCTACTAGTTATAACTTTATTTGTTTCTAGATGTTCACAGATCTGTTTTTTGATTATTTTTTCCAATATCTTCCCAGGTATTGATGTCAGGCTGATTGGTCTGTAGTTTCCTGGGTCTCTTTTTAATTCTTCCTTTTTTGAAGATAGGAACCACATCAGCTCTTTTCCAATCCTCAGGTAGTTCCCCAGTGCTCCAAGATTTTTTAAAGATATGATACAATGGTTCTGAGATAATATCTGCCAGTTCTTTCAGAACTCTGGGATGTAATGATGTAAACTTCATTGAAACATATTCTCCTGGTTTTTAAATTTAATATGATGGCTTCACAAGAACTCCTAATGCCTTTATTAAAAAACAATACCAATCATGCTAAGCTTTTGATGTCTTGCAATAGCCAAATATCTAATGTTGGTTACCAAAATAAGGATGCAGCTAATCAGTTACTTAGAAAAGATTGAAAAGTATTAATGTTAAATATTTACAGTTTAATATTTTTTTTCTATTCCTTAATATAATACATTCAGTAATGTTTACACTTCATCCTGTTTCCCACTGAGTCTTTCAACCATAATAACTTACTACAATCCATACATAAACTTCAGTCAGAATCTGCTCCCACACAAGGAAAGTGCACTCTAATTTCTCATGGTTATTCAATTTAGGATCATAAATCACAAAATAAATATACAAAAAAGTGAATAGGTCTAGAGGAAAGGGAAGATTGAAAAAGTTGTGACTGATGAGATCCTCAAAAAGAGAGAAGTTTTAAAAACAAAAGGTAGCACAGGAAATGCTTTTGGGTCATGGTGGTAAAAAGGCGAGTTTGCAAGGATATAAAGGGGATGATGAGATAAAGTGAATTATGTTCATATAAACAAGATTTGACTATCTTTTTTCCTTTGTGCCTTTAATTTTTTTGGCTTGCTCTTTCTTACTCCCTTTATGCATCTTGCCTAATGTTGCTTTCCACAGAAAAGAATAGCATGACAGGCACAAATGTATGCATGCTATGAATAAACATCTGAATCAATTGTGGAACAAAAATGAGGAAGCAACAGCTTATTGGTACAGTATGTTTATCATGAAGTACAGCATGAAGGTAATCCTATGTTCAATCCCTGAAGCTTTCAGCAAAGTTTCTTTGATAGCAAAGAAGATAAGAGAATGTCCAAGACTGAAGATACAATACCAAGTCAAGCACTCTCCTGGAAAGATTGATTCCAGCTGTGTACAAAGAAACTTCAGTATAAGATATATTAGAATAAGATAAAGAATTTTGTATTTTTATGTAGACTTGGTCTATCTACCATAGACAAACTCATATTTTTATTTTTAAAAAAGAGGATCTAAAAAAAGAAATAGCATATTCACATTTCTTTGGCCAGACTTAAAGCAAACTGCTCGAGTATGGGAGTAGGACCTTTCAAAGTCTCCAATATAATGGCACTTTGAAAGCATCTTTAATCAGAACAGAAAACCGTAATTTCCCTTGTTCACTTACTGGAAGAGAAGCCAGCCACACAAATTAAACTGAATAATTGTGTCATATAATTCTAGATAGATATTGAAGTTTCAATCTTCATCATCAATCTCCTAGACAATACGGCTTTAGAGAGGCAGTTTTTAGCCAACAGAAATGTCCCTCTGGGTTTTGTCTGTTTATTTTTTCTTTGCCAAATCTCATTTAGAGCTAAGGTTACTGTCCAAAGACATTACTGCCTCCCAAGATACAAGATCTGCAGGTATGAAGTGGTGGCTGAAAAGAGGAAGCCATCTAGAGCAGGTTTCACGGCCGACACTGACCTCGAGCAGGGAAGCAAAAGGCCTCAGTCTCAACCCTTGCAAGCCAGCTCTGTGGCATACCGCCAGTCGGCAATCAATGCAAAACATATTACTGATTGCAACAAGAGCACAAGGCCAGAGTAAAGTGACACTTCCATTAGTCTCTAATAGGAGATAAGCTGCATCACTTCCTTTCCAATCAGGACTATTTTGCCAACCTTAATATTCTAAGCACAAAATATTTACATGTTTTGCTTTAAAAAGGAGGATAAGATTTCATGGGGCAATTTGATTTGGGCATCATTTCCCTAATGCACTGAAACATAAGCTTCCCCCTCCTCAAATCCATTAGAGCTTGGGCCACCCAAGCACTTGGCTTGAACACTGTTGGCTCCCCCACCTCAAATACCAACATTAAACTTCAACGAGCGCTCCCCAACTGCTAAACTAATTGAATTCTTCCTGTAAGCATCTCAACTCAACAACAGTTAACTAACTAGAGATAAACAGACAATATATAAAAATGGTGAGAACTCAAGCAAAGATTATGTAAATTATTCACAGCCGCAGACCCATACCAAGAGAAGAAATTTCTCTCCTCTCCTGCTCTACCACAAGGTGGTCAGTGAAAAACTCAGAAAATCTCCATCCTAATGTACAAATACATATTCTGGTTCTAAATAGAAAATAATTCTTTTACTGGAATTCTTGTATTATTCCATCTTAATAAAGCCTGCAAAAAAAAAAAAAAAGAATTTTGTTTTGCTTGGGATTCCTGCTTGGAAGAGAAACATTCTCAAATCAGACAGCTACCAAAAATCTGGTATAATGTTATTATCAATGCGGGATTTCTGAATTTTTAATAGAGGACAATAACAAGATCAGATATTTTTGTCAGCAAGAGATGCATATTTAACAACATGTTCTGTGTAGTTTCTATCAATATCATGTGGTATCACTTTTTCCCAAACGCTAACCAAAATAATCGGCTTTAACATTAATACAGCTTTAAAAACGAAGCACCCAAATACAGGGAGAATCAGATTGAAGACTCTCAAACACGGAAGTCATTCTTATGCTGAATGAGAGCAAAGCCCTACCTCATGTCAATTTCATTGAAAGTGGTCAGCATGGCACATGTATTCTGAGCCTCTTTCAGCCGCTGAGCAATGCGTTGACGCATTCTGTTCATCTTTACCTGAAGACAGAAATAAATCATAGAAAAATAGTAAAGAGCCTGAACAAATTAAAAGCATACCCTTTCTCTCTCTCTCTTCCTGATGAACACCTCAGAATAATTTATCTACACATAATGGGTTATCTTCAGCAGTGAATCCAAAACGTAATCAAAAGTCATTTTTAGCCTGAAATAATTGCCCAGGTGAGACACAATAAAAACAAATGATATCACAAGGCATCAGAAGTCAAACTGCTATGAAAAGAAGTTGTACGACATAGGAGTTTATCTCTGGAATCTCAAGAAAGCTAGCAGGATAGATTTTAAGAAGGTAAATTTCAAACATTCACACTTGCTAAAGCGGTTTGCAATTTCCACTACAGATAATTGCGGCTTATGACCGTAATTGAGCCTGGCAGTTACGGTCGTAAGTCATGATGAAGCAGGTCATCACATGTCCTTTTCTGAGGTAGTCATTAGGTGAACATGGTTGTGAAGCATGTGCCAAGATCATTAAGCAAACCCATTGCTTCTAACTGGAAGTAAACACCAATTTCCAGAAAAAAAACTTAATAAATTGCATTCACATGATGGGGAGGGAGGAGGAGCTGCAAACAACTGTACATGTGGGTTGGTTGCCAACCACCCAAAATGTGGTCACACAGCTGCCCTTCCCAGACATAACATTCGAATCTGGATCATGAGTAGTTTTGGGGAGTTCAGTCGTAAGTGGCCTGTGGTAAATCGACAACTACCTGTATTAACCATCTGAGTAAGAACATTCATGAATGAAGAACTTTCTTGGGTTCAGCCATTGCCCTTAACTCTTTAGTGTTACTTTGTTACAGCCTTTTATGAGGCTCTTTTGAAAATATTTTTTGTTCTGCCTCAATGCTATCATACTACAATTCCTTACAGAAATGAGTATTCACATCATATCCCACCAGACTGAGAAACCTCCAAGTACCCTTTGTTCCAATCTGGCACCTTTGCCAGTCCCAGGTTCCACAGCAGGAGAAGCTGTTGGCACTGCAGTTGGCTTTATTGCAGACACTGAAAGTCAATGGAAAAGTAGAATGTCAGGGGATTAAGCAAGCAGGGATCATTTCCTTGAATAAAATGAGTTGACACCAATGCTCTGAATGTAAACGAAAGCCTCAGTTTGGAGATAAAGCCTCTAACTATGTATCATTTCACAATCTTAAGTTCTGAGGTCCCTCTATTACATAGATGGGAAAGCAAGAACAAGAATGTTGTAATCTCACCTGGTTTAGCATCAACAGGGAGTGCTGACACTGGGGGCACTGGAGGCATTGTAGTGGGAATTGGTGCTTCAGAGGGAGGTGCTACAGGAGCTGGAGATGGTGGTGCTGCAGGAGCCACGGGCTCTGCTGCAGGGGCTGTTGCTGGCTTGGCTTTGGCAGGTGCAGCTTAGTAAAAGAAAAAGTATTACATATATGGATAATAGAAGCATATATATATAATTTATTTTGCAGTCACAGACCAAAATGCAAGTGCAACAAAAAAGCATATTTTTCCCAAGCAAACAGTTCCAGCAAAAAATGTTTTTACATAAATACACTCTGAAGGTTCTCTATGGCACTCATAAACTATTGACATGGCACGGCGGTGTGGAAGGTATATGCTTAAGCAACAAAAATCTGTGAGAGAACTACAGTATTTCTATTAAATAGTTTTCAGGACTCTAAAGCCCTAAAATCATCTATTCCTAATGATGCAAATCTTGATCCATGAAATTAACATCTGAAGTCATGTCCCTAGCATTAGCTATCTGGCGGAATCAAGAAAGAGATCCTATTTTGAATAGCTATTTTATTACATTGCTTACTCTATTGAGTATATAAGCTAGATATAACAAAGCCCAACCTATGGTCTATACAGGATCAGATCTAATTATAGGCTTTGTTATATCTAGCTTATATACTTAATAGAGTAAGCAACGTAATAAAATAGCTATTCAAAATAGGATCTCTTTCTTGATTCCGCGAGAATCCGCCGTGGCCCACTACCAGGCCATGGCCTCTTGGCCACTGGGCCATGTGAGTGGCCAGACAATGCGCACGTACATGTGTGCGCACTTACCCCCTTGTGCCGGCACTCGTTGAGCCACAACAAGCCTATTGCCAGCATTAGCAGCCCCATTTGCAGAGTGTGCCTGCACTTGCCCCTGTTCGCGTGCATGTGCCTGCAGCCACATTTGTGTGTGTGCGCATGCGCACATAAAGATACCTGCCCCTTCCTTTCCCACCGGGCCACCAACCCAGAAAGGTAGGGGAACCCTACTATAAACCATATTCCAAATTGTTCATCAATGCAAGAAGATAGTAATAATTTCACGTCTATTTTCTTTGCTTTATTTCCATGTTTCAATTTATGGCAGAGAACATGCAACCTTCATTTTCGGTCATTTCAGAAAGTAGTTATGATCAGTCCTTCACCTGAAATTCAGACTTCTCGTCTATGGCAGTTTTTATTAGGGGGAAAAAAGCTGCCCTTTCCTTGCTGGTGAGTTGAGCATTCCACATTTTACCCAATAAAAAAAGTGCATATTTTTTGTCCTTTGAACAAATTTTACAATCAATTCCCTATACATGCCATAAAGGTTTACAATGCATTAATATGAAAAACCGATGCCATAAGGATGAAAAACAACCTAATTTATGTGATTTAATCCAATTTGAACTTCATGTACATATGAATGAAGGCGAATATACGTGTCCCAGGATAATGTTCCAGGATCCAATCTGAGTCAGTCACTGAGACCAGAGTTTCTGTCTTCCAAGCTTTCGGACTCATGCCGGAGCCCCCATCCTCAGGAAGCTTCTCTCTAGGTAGATCCTTCACATATATATATCTTTTAATTTATATTGCAATTATATAATGATGTAAAATGAATAGTAACTAATTTAAGTCACCCATGTAAACAACTTTCAATCATACAATCCACATTTACCTCCAGTTTTCCTGAGTTTAAATAAAGGTGTTCCTCCTTCTACTTTCCCTCCATCAGGGACAAGTAGAACTTCAATTACACCAGCGGCTGGAGCAGGAACCTGCACAGATGTCTACGTAGAAAAAATAAATAGCTGCTGAATGTAAGAGGGAGATAAACAAACAAAAGTCTGGTCTTGAAGAGAGCTGAATGCTACATTCATAGAATACCTCAACAAAAATAATGAAAACAAACTCAGTTCCACGCAAATATCACAACCTGATCAACATTCTAGAAATCAACTTGCCGAGTTTTACTGTCATTTAAAATATTTCTTTGCATATTCATTCAATTCCTGAAAGAAATCAGTAATTTAATGTTTAAGAATCAACTTTCATTCTGGTGCAGAAAATCCAAGAAAAGTAAAGGCCATAACATTCCTAACTGAAAGCTAAGAATGCTCTTTATATTCAAAAGTTACATTATTAAATTTAGTTTACTGCCTTCTACTCGGAATAGTATAATATAGGGGTTTGCAGAAAGCAGTTCATGATGTACTGATAAAACTTTGCAATTTATCAGGAAAAAGGTTTGAATTCTAGTTGTTTAGAACAGGGGTCCCGAACCTTTTCTGGGTGGGCAGCCCGGTGGGAAAGGGAGGGGCAGGCACCTTTATGCATGCATATTCACACAGCAAATGTGACTATGTGAGTGTGCGCCAGAGCATGTGTGCTCTGCAAATGAGGCTGCTAGTGTCGGTGCATGTCTCGGCCCTGTGGCAAGAGGCTCAGGGCTCGGCTAGCGGCAATGAGAAGCTCGCGGCTTGGCTATCCCGGCAAGAGGCTCGAAGCTCATGGCTCAGTTAGTGCTGGTGAGAGACTTGCAGCTCGGCTAGCATGGTTGCAAGGGGCGGCATGTGCAGATGCGTGCGTGGACTGGTCAGCCCTACGCAGCCCAGTGGCCAAGAGGCCGGGGCCGGTAATGGGCTGCGGCCCATAAGTTGGGGGCCTCTGGTTTAGAAATAGCAGCACCAATATAGCTTCCAGATACTAAAAAAGGTTAATTGTTGAAATAAAGAAAGCTTGAAAAATAAAATTGTGAGGAAGGAATATTTTGCAAGATTGGAACGCTCCAATGGATAAAGCACCAAACTAGAACAGCAGAGGCTATTAAACAAATCTTGATTCAACTCTAACTTTTAAAAATGGGGGAAGAACTGTTTTTAATCTTTGATGGGAAGGAGAGTATTAAATGTGATTAACACAAGAAGCATGATGCAATTGATGCTGTTTTCTATGCACAAAGCCTGTTAACTGATGAAGCACCTGTGGTTTCTGCTTGTCTGGTATGTCTGACAGAGTGGGCATACCCTAGGGTTCCTGAATTAAACAATGTCATACTTTGGGATTCAGAAAACATGATTTCTCTGTAGCAATGCCTGCTATCTGGAATGAGCTTCCTCCCTTGACATCCATATGGCTCCCATCTTGATAATGTTCTGGAAGACTTGAAAAATTGGCTATTTACTCAAGCCTTGGGGTAGGGTGGATGAGATTCGTCTGTACATAATATTCTTTGTTTTGCTTTATTAACTGGTTTGCCATCTTGTAATTATTTTGTAGCTATATTTGTACTTATTTCTGTTAATTTTTTGCATTCTGTTATTTTTATGTTATTCTCATTGTTGTGAGCTGTCTAGAATCAGCTGGAGCCATCTGGCATCAAAATTTAATCAATCTGAGTAAATAGTACAGATCTGCAGTTAGGGGTTCTTACGACCTTGATAAGGCCAATAGATTTCATAAATTCAAAACATTTCTTCCCTGGGCTCAAATGTTCACTTTGCCTCTGGTGATAATCATTATCATGAATAAGATGACAAAACATTTAGAGTTGCTTTTAGTGAGATGGTGGCTATATAAATTTGATTACTAAAATTAAAAAATTACCTTGTCGGTTTCAATCTCACATACCACTTCATCTTCTACTACAGTATCCCCAACAGCTAAAAAATGAAAAGAACAGGACATAAACAAGGAGTTGTGTTGTGGCATTTCCTTCCCTAATTTTTATACACATCTCCTTAAGGTAGACTTAAAACATCAACACAGGTTAAAAAGGCATACTTCATTTTGTAAGCAACTGAACTAGTAACCAATAACAGGTCTGATCAATCTTCACCTACATAATAAAAGTATTCAGAACATTTTTAATTACATGAATATTTAACATATTTTCCTAACAGGCTATGAAAAACGTATGATGGGATGGGGAGAAGATTAGAGCAATGAAAGAAAAAAAAATCCTCTTACCTTTTTCCCACCTGACATCTCCCTCTGTGACAGATTCTGCAAATGCTGGTGTGTTCACTGTGACAACTTCCTCCCCTGTGAAAGATGCATGTAGTAAAATGCTTCACATTTTGGCATTTCATTCCTCGGGAGCGATGGATAAATACAATTTAGAGAAAATGCTAATCATAAAGAAAAAGTGCCATAATTTAAATAATTCCATATTATCAGTTCTCATCAGATGTGTAGACCACCTTCTAGCATTCCACAATCAGCATGGCTATTAATAATTCTGGGAAATAAGTTTTTCATATATAGAGGGGGTCTAGGTTGGGGAAGGCTATCATATAACTTCTATTGAGGCCACTTCTCTCTTGAATATCAGTTCCACCCATTTGTTTTTGGATAATTATTTTTTCTCACCCATAAAACTGTAATTGGTTGGCCATCCAATAAAATTAGTCAGCATTTATTCAGACTGATCAAAATAAAATACTAAAAGGACAAATCATACATTTCTCAAGTCAGGAAATGTATGGTTTGTCCTTTTAGTATTTTACTATTTAGTATTTTACTATTTAGTATTTTACTACTTAGTTTATATTGTTCTGGATAACAGTCACGCATTGATGATTTTATTAAAAATACTGCTTGAACAAGAAAAATGCAGAAATGTTCCATTATGCCAAAGTCCAATGATCCATGGCATAAAACATACATTAAGCCTTACTTAAATGTACGAAAGATGTAAACTAAATTAGGGAACAAGGTTACATGATTTTAGCAGGAAGAAAATTGGCATGTAGATCAAATGTTCCGCTGCCTGCAGGCCTCTGGCTTACTTACTGCATACTTTTGAAGTTCTGAAATAACGGATAGTGAAGACACGAGAACTATTTAGCCTGCAGAGCAAGAAAAGCAATATCAGTGTACAAATAGTACATATTTGTATCTGCTGTCTTGATTGGCTTGACTGTCCATCAGTAGCCCCACCACTATTTTTAACTTGCTCACTGATTCATGTACCTGCAAGCATAGATCCTGAAGCATTTCAGGAAGGGATGGCCTGTGACTAAAATTCACCTCTGTGTCTATGTATACATGCGTGCACGTGTACACACACACACACACACACACACACACACACACACACAAATTATTTAGCATAGGATCATAGAAAGCCT